TGCACGGATGGGTATTCACGACGAGCTTACATAGTGAATTGTCGTTGCACGGATTCAATTTTGTCGCTGTGGATTTTGTGGAATGGAAGCCATACCATAGCGCAGTAGTTGAGGTGAGATTGAACCGATGCAAAATACAGCGACTTTAGTGTGGTAACGTCGGTGATATCATGGCAGAAGCGTTTGACAAAGCCAAGTGCAGCCGTTGCCTTCGAAGTGACCATGTCGATGTGTTTGGCAAAAGATAGTTTTCTGTCAATTAGAACACCCAAGTCCTTATGTTCAGTCACTTTGTCGAAGGTGTGGTCGCCATAGGTGTAGCTTTTATCCAAATGCTCACGTTTCTTGAAGATAGATAGTACTGCACATTTTTTGAGGTTAAGGTGCAGCCGATTCACGTCACACCAATGTTTAAGTTTGTCGATGGCTTGTTGCAATATCTCCGAATCTAGCTGAGATTTGATAATTTTGATATCGTCAGCAAACAATAATATCATGATGTCTGGGGGCATTTGATCCACGATGTCGTTGATGAACAGCAGGAACAGTGTTGGACCGAGGTGGCTCCCCTGTGGGACACCCGACGACGCTGTAAAGTCGACCGACTCACTTGCTCCATGTTTGACAAATTGGGTACGATTTTCCAGGTACGACTTAAGCCATGCCAGCAAGTTTTGAGGTAGATTGAATGTTTCCAACTTCTGGATCAAAATGCAGTGATCAACTCGATCGAAGGCTTTCGTAAAGTCCGTGTACAGGATATCAACTTGAGCTCCAATGTTCAAGCCACTCTGGGCGTAGTACACAAACTCGGTAAGGTTTGATGCTGTAGACACACGTGTGCAGGGGGGGTATTCCGGTTTTACCCCCCTCTAGGATTCCAAAATGTGGACCCCCCAGCGATTTGGAAAATTTGACACTAGATAGAATCGATTTCCAAAAGTGAGGACCTTTTTTTAGGTCTTCATTTTTTCTATTTTTTTTCACACCCATTTATAAATTTGCAGACCCCCCCCTGGCAAAATCATTTTATCCCCCTAGAATTTTTGACCTTGCACACGTCTGGCTGTAGATCGTCCTTTCATAATGCCATGTTGGTTAGGCGAGATGCGATCACGAACAGTTTCAAGCAATTCTACGTTGACGAGGTGCTCGAAGAATTCAGCGATCGTTGGTAATTTTGCTATGCACCTGTAGTTTTCAATGTCCGATCTGGCGCCCTTTTTGAATATGGCTGATACACTCGATCGTTTCCACTCGTCGGGAAAAATGCCAGATGAAAGCGACTCATTGAAGATCTTAGTCAACGGGCTAGCAAGCGTCGGAACACACTCCTTCAAAATCAAAGGATGAATACCGTCGGGATTTTAGAACACTGTTGTAGCGAAACAAAAGCTACGATTTTTTTTTAAATTTGGCTAAATATAAGTAGAAAAGGTACTCTTTCAGGATATATTGTTTCCAATTTTTCATTTGGTTAACATTAGTTTGTTGGTTTTTCAATCACAAGCATACGTCAATGGGTTTCAGTTGCAATCAACGTGAAGTTAACTGCGTTGCCCGGTATGCATTATGTTCACCCTTTGGAATATGTCAAAAAAATGAAAAAAATATTTTTTTCTCTCCAAAAAATCGATTTTTTTTCAGAAAAAATCCAAAAATAAATTCACTTCGGCATTTGGTCCAAATCTTAATTATTCGTCCTAATTCATTTCATCCGCCCCATATTTTCGACAAAAAACGTGAAATAACGAAAAATTTTTTTGAATCTGATTATAAAATTAAATCCGCGGATTTAACGAAAAATCTGGGTTCAGACACCAGACCATGCCTATAATTTTTGGATGCCGTTTTTCTTATTTTTTTTCTCTAAAGTTTCTTGTTCAGCTAGCATTTTTGTTCGAACCCCAGTTTTAAGAATTAAAGCCGGATTTAAAATTAAATCCGAACCACTTGGAACGGATATAACATTATTTTACAGAAAAGTAATAAGTAAAAAACCTTGTTTAGCAGAAATTTAAGCATTTATCTTTATTTCATGAAAAAAATTCTTTCTCGAATATTTTTTGAAGTCAACCTTCAGTATGACTAGCCACTTGTGACGGAAAATGTTCGGGATCTTCCAATGTATTGAATAACATCACCCAAAATGTGGCGGGCACCACCAGAATGACATATTCGATATTCTCCCGGTTCAGTATTTTTCTGAATGTTCCAAAATATTTCCATAATGCTATGACCGAGAACAAAAGAGGTACGCTTCCAAATAAACCTAGAAAAAATAAAATTTGATTGTTAGAGGTGGTTGATTTTGAAAACATGCACCGACCAAAATATAGATTTACCGGCATTACTTTTGCAAAAAATTGTTCGGGCCATAATAACAGCAATTGTTATATATTTCATGATATTATAGTTCAATGTTTCTCAGTTTTTGATGCAAAATCGATTGATAGTTTCAGTTTGCTTTTGCGATGAGCGGTTTTGAAAATTTTACTAAATTTAATTTAAAGTAACATGTTACTGTAACACATTACTTTTTAACATTACTTTGGAGAATTTTTTAAAATTAAAAAAAAAAACAAACCATTAGAAGTAAAAACTAGAGTTATCATTTGATTCGTGACAAAAAATGAAACACAATCCATATATTCAAAGTTGTATATGGATATATTTATTTGTATATATTTGTTGAAAATATTCCGTTACAATTGTAATGCCGGTAAATCTGTAGACCAAAAATGCATTTTCATTTCATGCCAAGCTATTTTATGACAATATTAAGTAGGGGTAATTCGGAACGTGGGGAAATTCGGAACACCGCCAAATTTCGCCACAAATGAATAGTTTGAGACATGCGAATAATTGTCATCGTTTTCTCTAAGTCAAACCTCATATTTCCATTAGCACTCGACGAGTGTGTACGTGCAGCATCGAAATCAAGTCATGAAAATTTAATATTGAGAATTTATTTATTTATTTATTTACACCGCCAAAAGCTGGCTGAATAATCAGTTTTGCAGGAAAATGACTCCAAGAGTCATGAAAAACCTGATCTTTTGTGTTTATACAATATAGGGTATACAGTATATGGTTGAAGTGATTTTGGCCTGAACATTGACTAAACTAAACAAGTTTCCCTTACATACAAATAATAGGTCAGAAAAATCACCAACTCAAAGGATGGCTATATCACAGTCAATGTAGCTATAATAAAAGAAATATGTAAAAAATCACAGTAATGTTACAATATTTGTATGCAAATTTTTCAGTATTTTATATTAAATTTTCGACTTTACTCATTGCGCACCGATGTGATGAAGCTAGCACGGGTGGTTGAATTTTTGAATGGATCAGCCACTTTATTTGCATATTTGCACATTTGTGGCACTTGAGCTCTGGTTTGCTTGTCCATGAGCCTGTCTTTGATTTTGAAGTAGTCAGTGTGCCGTAGTTCGCGTATGCTCTCTCCTATTGCTATGTCGTTCCGTACATTGGGAAAATTTGCGTTCCCATTAACGATGTCATACATGAACACAATTGAACCGTTCACTCTCCTACGTTCCAACGAAGTCATGCTCAGAGCTTCCAGTCGCTTGTTATATTCGGTGATGTTGTATCCGTTGGCTGCTGTACGATACTCTCTTCAGGCGAACTGTGTGAACTTTCTCAAAACACTCTCGATTTTGTCGATATGTATGGCATGAGTTGGCAGCCATACAACGTTGCAGTACTCAAGATGAGACTGAACCAATGCGTAATACAATGTTTTGAGCGTTTGAACATCGGTGATGTCGTAGCAAGATCTCCTAATGAATCCAAGGGCAGCTGTCGCCTTCGATGTAATTGCGTCGATGTGTTTAACGGACCGACGGACCAAACTCACAAATTTGTTTTCACGGACTCGTTTCTCTATGACAATTTACCAGGGGATCAATGTGAATTTATTATCCCCATAAAAATTAACTCATTTTCACGAATCAGCTCTCGAATCATTCAACCAATTTTGGACAAAAAATTATAGATGTGTTCCGTACTCGTCCATTTTTGGTGATAGCAAGAGGTGTCTTTTGCGAAATTGAAACTAAAATTTCATCAAAGAATCTTCCCCATCCTCATTCGAAAATAATACAGCCAAAAACGGTCAAATATTTTGAATAAGAGCTCCATCGTAATGGAAACTAAATGCGAGTGGAGACGGTGTGTAAAAAAATTGTGTAGAATAATTTCTTAAATGGAGATGGTTCTTTCATTCACAAATTGTACAAAAAATTAGTCCAAATTAGTTTGCTTTTGAGCAAAATGTCGGGAAAAAAATGATTTTATCCATTTTGTCAAAAACATAACTCGCTGACTGACTTTTATGACTACTGGCATCGACTTTGCTTCTGGTCGAGAGGCCATGCAATCGAAATGAATGTCCGAGAATGAAAACGCAACTTCTATTCACAACATATAAGTGAAACGAAAATAAAAAATTTATTGAAATGAAACAACACAATCGAATTTTTTCAAAGTGTAACAACAAAAAAGATTTTTTTAAAGTGTAACATCGGTATGTAGTAAGTGTAACAACATACCGATGTTACACTTTAAAAAAATCTTTTTTGTTGTTACACTTTGAAAAAATTCGATTGTGTTGTTTCACGTAGTAAGTGTAACAACATACCGATGTTACACTTTAAAAAAATCTTTTTTGTTGTTACACTTTGAAAAAATTCGATTGTGTTGTTTCATTTCAATAAATTTTTTTATTTTTGTTTCACTTATATGTGTTGTGAATAGAAGTTGCGTTTTCATTCTCGGACATTCAAATAAAAATCGTTTTTGCATCGATGACAATTCAACTTTAATCCGTGTAGTCTTTGACCATTGCGTTGTGACTCATGACATTTGTGTTCTGTTGGTATTTCTTTGCCGAAAATAGAATCGTTCAGAAAGTTGAATAAACTTGCCATTTCGGATTGGTGGAGGTTATGAGTATCAAGAGAATTGTTGTCAAAGCTTGTTAGTAGTTAGTTTGCTGATCTTCAAAAAGCCGACAAAGCCGTAGAACAAATGATTTCGTTTTCGAACAAAAATTCTTATTAGATTCACTTCTTGAAATTAACTAGTTGTTAAAGTATTTATTTAGATTGAAAATGAAAATATTATTTGGTTTATTTCTGGTTCACCTGGTATTAGCTCAATCAAAAGTGAAACACAAAAGTGTTCTGATTGACAATATTAGTGATTATAAAGAATTGAAAAAATTGTTTCGAACCAAGAACAATGTGTTGGTCCTTTTCACCTCTAATCCCACCAAAGAAGCTCAAAACGCTGTCAAGGCTCTAGATGAAGCAGCTCAAACAGTGAAGGGAGAAGCAACGGCAGTACATATCGATTGCTCTTTGAGTGCCGAAACAAAAAAGCTGTGCAAAAAAATTAAAGTCGCTCCCAATTCAGTGATGCTGAAACATTTTAAGGATGGAGAATTCCACAAAGACTATGATCGTCAAACAACTGTTTCGAGTTTCACTAATTTTCTGCGTGATCCAACGGGTGATTTGCCCTGGGAAGAAGATAAATCGACTGGGGCCGATGTTCTACATCTAAACGACTCGGATATGCTAGTTAAAATATTGAAAAAAGAGGTTCGACCACTTCTGATTATGTTCTATGCACCTTGGTGTGGCTTTTGCAAAAAGTTGAAACCAGATTATTCTGCTGCTGCTACAGAGCTAAAGCCTGACTATGTATTGGCTGCTATGGATGTAAATAGACCGGAAAACTCAAAAGTGCGTCGCATGTTCAATATTACAGGCTTTCCCACAACAATCTATTTTGAAAATGGGGCACAAAAATTGGTTTATGAGGGCGAAAACAACAAAGACGGGATAGTTTCATTCATGAAAAATCCGAATGCACCTCCTGCAACAAAACCCAAAGAAGCAGAATGGGCTTCAGATCCAAATTCGGAGATCGTTCACTTGTTGTCCAGTAACTTTGATTCAGTGCTCGTTGATGAAAAATCGGCTTTGGTGATGTTCTACGCTCCGTGGTGTGGACATTGCAAACGGATGAAACCCGAGTATGAGAAAGCGGCCGTATTGATGAAAGAAAAAAAGTTGCCGGGTATTATAGCAGCCGTTGATGCAACAAAAGAACAGGGCATCGGCAGTAAATTCAATGTGAAAGGTTATCCCACCGTGAAATATTTTTCAAACGGAGAATTTAAATTTGATGTAAATGTTCGAGATGCCGATAAAATAGTCGAATTTATGAAAAACCCCGCCGAACCACCACCACCTCCTCCACCGGAGAAGCAATGGGAAGAAGAAGAGACCAATGTGGTGCATTTAGATGAGAATAACTTTAAAGTTTATTTGAAAAAGAAGAAACATGCTCTGGTTATGTTTTATGCGCCTTGGTGTGGACATTGCAAACGTGCAAAACCAGAATTTGACAAAGCAGCCGATTCGCTCAAGGATGATCCACGCATTGGAGTAGCTGCTGTTGACTGCACCAAGCACAATTCGATCTGTTCGGCATATTCAGTCAAAGGATTTCCCACAATCAAATACTTCAGTTACTTGAAAACTGTTCGAGAATATAATGGAGGCAGAACGGCTGACGACTTTACGAAGTTCTTATCCGATCCCGATGCTCCACCTGAGAAACCTAAAGCTGAAGAATTTGGAAAATATCCTGGCTCAGATAGTATAATAACATTGACTGACAGCAATTTTCATGAAACCGTTGAGAAAATCGATAACTTTTTGGTCATGTTCTATGCTCCATGGTGCGGTCATTGTACGAAAATAAAAACACAATTTTCAGAAGTCGCTCAACGAGTTTCAAAAGATAAAATCGGTATGCTTGGTGCTGTTGATGCTACTGTTCATGAAAATGTAGCACAGAAATTTGATATCAAAGGTTTTCCAACGTTGAAACTGTTTCAAAAAGGCTCTTTCATTATTATTATTATTATTCTGCACCATACAGCGTTTCTTCGCCAGAGGTGG